GGGGGGGCTCCCGGCGGGGGGATCCGCGACACGGGTACCCTGGGGCGCACAGGGAGGGGGGGACAGGAACCGAGACTGACACGCGGGGACACGGGCACTAAGATCAATACAGGGACACGGGGACAAACATGCAAGGACAAGGGACAGGGACATGGGACACAGAAGGACGCTGAGATTGATACACAGGGACATGGGACAAACCAGGGCAGACGCTAACATACACAGGGAGATGGGACACAAACACACGGACAGAGACAGACACACAAACCCTGAGATACACAGGGACACAGGACAAGCACAAGGACATGGGCAGACACACAGGGACATGTGACAGACACAAGGACATTGAGATGGACACACAGGGACATGGGACACAAACACAAAGACACACACACTAAGATACACAGGGACATGGGACAGACAAGGACACACATGCTGAGATACACAGGGACATGGGACAAACACATGGACACTGAGACAGACACACAGGGACACTGGACACAAACCCTAAGATGCACAGGGACACAGGACAAACTGGGCAGACACACAGGAGCATGGAACACACAAGGACAGAGATGCAGGAATGTGACAAAACAGCACAGACAGGGAGGGGACACACAGGGACACAAGACAGACACGCACACAGGGGTCCACACGAAGGCAGTAGCTGGGAGGCGAGGCCACAGCCCGCACTGCAGCAGCCCCACGTCTCACCGGCCTGGGGGTCCTCACCACGGGGCTGGTTGTTGCAGAATGGATCGAGCGCCAGCAGAGCAGGAACAAGTTCTACTACTACCACCAGCAGTTCCGCCGCGTGCCCGACCTGAGCGAGTGCGTGGAGGGCGACCACCTCTGCTACTTCGAGGCCGAAGCGCAGTGGAGGAGGGATAGGTACGGGGCATGGCAGGGCTCCTCCTGGGAGACCACAGAGCTCCCGGCTGGCAGCAGCCGCTTCATTTAAATTCACAGAGCTTCCTGGGTTTCGGTGGGAACCTTTGGGGTGCTGTTGGGGGTGGTTTGCCAAACCCGCTTAGAAAAGCGGCTCCTGCTCCGCAGCAGGACACCGGTGCTCACCCTGGCCTGCACCCCCACAGCGCAGCACCAAGTCCTGCCTGCAGCACAAAAACCCAGAGCCAAACACCTGTACTGCAGCATGGCATTTTTTGGGGGGGATGGACCTCTAGGGATCATCTAGTCCAACCCCTGCACACGCAGGGTCACCTAGAGCATGTGGCACAGGGCTGCGTCCAAGCAGGTTTGAAGATCTCCAGAGAAGGAGACTCCACAGCCTCTCTGGGCAGCCTGTTCCAGTGCTCTGGCACCCTCACTGTCAAGATTTTCTTTCCTTAAGTTCCTGTGGAACTTTTGGTGCTTCAGTTTGTGGCCATTTCTTCTAGTTCTGTCAGTGGCCACCAGTGAAAAGAGGCCAGCCCTCTTCGCTCAGCCCTGCTGCAGTGTGGCCTCTCGTCACCATTTATCCTCATGTTTCCCCCAGGATGGTGGATCAAGAGATCATGGGCATCGTGCGGGAACGGCTTTCGGCCTGCCAGTACAGGGAAGGGCCCAATCACTTACAGAACTGCGCAAAGGAGATGGAGCAGCTGCTCCAAGTCACCAAGGCCTATCAGGACAAATGTGAGTACAGCAACAGCCTCCTTGCTTGTACACTGTAGTAATAACACCACACTGGGGAAAAAAAAAAAAAAAAGACTCACAATTATGATTCCCCATCTTTGTGCTGAAATGCTCCTGACAAATGCTGCAAGCACCCACACTTGGTTTTCTGCTCAAAAACATTGGAACCACCAGCTTGGAGGGGGCCACTAAGAGCAGAGCTGCACTGGTCTGTGCACATCTTCATGCTGCAGCTTGCACCATGCCCCAAGTTTGCCAGACTTCACATTAAATTATGTATTTTTAACTAGAGGGTGCTACTCTTAGAGGTTTGCTTATTTCCTTCCTCTTTAGATGGTGATCTTGGTGTCCATGGAAATTCAAGGACATGTTTGATGAAGCAGAAGCACATGATGATGGAAGAAAGGAAGGCCCAGGAAAATGCAGATCACTAGATCTGATTAGAACAGGGTTCACTTGTCAGTGGTGTGTGAACCCACTCTTGCATGGGGCATCTTTGAACTGTGATGTTGACCTGTACAATAAACTTGCAGCCCAGGCATCTGCCAAACCACTAACATGCAGAGTCATCCTTTGAGGTAGTTCTGTATTCTTTTGCATGTCTGTGCTCAGCCTTGAATCCCTGCAGGATTTTACCATACTCTAAAGTGAGCCATCAAAATTCAGAAACTGACTGCATTGAGATTGTCTCTCTCCATGAACCATGGCTAATGCCCTAGCCTGCTGGATCCAGAGCAGCATTCCCTCCTGTTCCTGGGGGGAATTCCCTGAGTTATTGTAAAGATTACATGCTGTAGGAAGACAGTATAAACTTGTACATTTGTTTCTCTGCAGAGCTGGTTCTGGAACCCCTGTAGAATTAACACATGATTAACACAAGGATTAGTAACAATGTTCTATTCTGCTTAACAGATGTTCAGGTTCTGGCACAGGGACTGAACCCACTGAAATCCCCAGCAGATTTGACCTGCCTGCCTTACACATACCAATGAATCCAGTCACAACTTCTGGTTCACTGATCACTTTATTGTCTTGCACAAAAACCACTTAAGTAGTTGCCACAGCAGCTGCTTGGGTTCTCTGCACCGAGACTCTGGTGTGGGTCTTAGCCAGATGATCAGTGAACTCCTGCAAAAAGGAAAAGGAGAAATGCAGCATTTTTTTACCCCCCTCAAACCACTGTCAGTTTTCTCAGCAGGGGATCCCTTTCCAAGGAGGTGGGAGAAGCATTCAGACACAGCTTATTTCTTCTTAATCCTTCAAGCTTTCCACTTCCTATTTACTTTGTTCATGAAATGTCATTTCCAAATACAGCAGCATACCAAATAGCCACCAAACACTATCTGGTCTAAACTGGTGAGCAACAACTCATCATACTGAGCTCCAGCTGGCTAGAGTTCAGAGGGAAGGACAAAGTCATCAGGAAAATGGTACCAGCCTCCAGCTCAAGGGAAAACAGACACTATTAACACTAGGAAAACAACACATGGGGCTGTACAAGTCTTGCTGCACTTAGCTTTCCTAAGGGAAAAAAAAATCTTCTGCATGTGACAGGGTAGGGAAGGTAGATGTTGAGCTGGGGGTGTTTTGTTCTCTTACCTGGTAAGGAGACTTGGTGAACACAGTCTCTTTCCAGAGATCAGGGGTCAGATAGCTGTAGGTCTTGGAGATGGCATCAAAGGTGGCTTTGGCTATGAACACAAGACAACCATTACAGATTAACATTAAAGAAAACTGCTCTCATAACAACCGATACACCTCCAAAAATGTAGAATTTAATATGCATGAGGGAGACCACAACAGGATCCCTCTGCTCTATATATAAAACTCAAGTTACTTTCTCTCGCCATTTACGACAGTTAACACTACTTCAACCAAGTGTAACCGCGCAGATTGGGAGATTTTTTCAATCAATATATAAAGAAAAAATATATATTTTTATAATTCAGAAGAGCCTCTAGTAGGTCTAGACTGCACTGTAGAAGTAACACAAGTCACCTTGACCCCTGCTTGAACGCTAAGAGCCCAGACTTAGTAGTACTACAAAAGCTATGTCATGTTCCCACCAATGACAGAAAAAAGGTAACACAGCTGGGCTACAGCAGAAAAGCTAGAACTCACCAAAGTTGCCCAGGGTGGCAGTACAGCCCCTGGCTGAGGTGTAGCAGTCATCGATACCAGCCATCATGAGCAGCTTCTTGGGAACAGGGGCAGACACAATCCCTGTACCACGGGGGGCCGGGATCAGGCGCACCAGGACCGACCCGCACCGACCGGTGACCTGCACAGGGACAGTCAGTTACAGCTCCCCAAACACCCCACGGTGCCAACACCAGAGCCACAGCAACAGCTCCTCCCCACCTTGCAGGGCACGGTGTGGGGCTTGCCAATCTTGTTGCCCCAGTAGCCCCGCCGTACAGGTACGATGGACAGCTTGGCCAGGATGATCGCCCCTCTAATGGCCGTTGCCACTTCCTTGGAGCACTTGACACCGAGACCAACGTGGCCATTGTAGTCCCCAATGGCAACAAAAGCCTAAAATTAAAAGGAGAGCTCTCAGCCATGGCTGTGCTGTAGCATAAGGATGCACCCAAGGATTGACCCAAGCAGTGCTCAGCAGTGACACCCACAGCTCACTGCCAGCAAGTACATTAAAACTAGTCCTATCTCCTCAAGCTTACCCAGTGCACCACACAGTCCAAGCAGCCCCTTTTCCCTCCTAACTTCAAAGACAGCTAAGGCTGCAGAACTGGATCACAAATCCCTGCTATAGCCTCATGCTTGTTAGTCCCAGGCATTTCAAGCCAGCATTCCCTTTCCACATCTAAGAATCCTCTAGTCACCACAGCCCCCAGAAAGCCAGCATCACTGCATAAATGCATCCCAAAATTGTGCTGGGGCAGCGCATAGCAAGATTTTAAGGCATTATTAGAGCTTTAATAGCCATAGGAGCTATATAAGCTGATCTGTGCACCTGAATGTTATAACAGTGAAGACTAAAGTAAACTAGCAACAAGGCATAAAATAAACCAGCAGTCAGAATATGCTGTTTTGAAAATACACATCTGGAAATAAAGAGTTTACCTTAAACCTGGTACGCTGACCAGCTCGAGTCTGCTTCTGGACAGGCATGATCTTCAAAACCTCATCTTTCAGAGAAGACCCCAGGAAGAAATCAATGATTTCTGACTCCTACAAGATCCAGTCATGTTATCAGTCACAAAGTTGTGCTTCTCAGTTAAACCAGACATAGTTGGCAAGCACAACATTTAAATGACTAGAACAAAAATAAGCATCAACTCCATAGGCATCACATTACTCTGGTTTGCTAGGCAGTTCACTATAACAAGTTCAATTTTCATGTTTGCCCCCTAAAACTGAGCACAACTATTACAGAACCACCTGACATGAGGTAGAACACAGTAGATAAATTGCACTATGCCCCAATTCAGCTGAAGGCATCACTCCTTAGCTTCTTATTTAAACCTTGAACTGTAACAGACTCAGCCTGAACTTCCCAAGCAGTAAATGCAGCAGCCACTGACTTCACAGTCTAGATAACTAAGTTTTCACTGCACATTAAGCCCTGACTCTAATCACTCACAGAAGCTCACCTTGATTGGAAGTGAAAAGAGATAGATCTCTTCAAGAGACTTGATCTTCATATCCTTGACCAGGCGACCAAGTTTGGTGACAGGAATCCACTAGGAAAGAAATGAGGTGACGAGTCAGCAAGAGCACCACCAGCACACAAAGGAACAGCCCCATCCAAGCTCCCTTTCACACACAGCTTTCCTTATGGCCTTTGCAGGAAGAAACACACTGCCTCACATGCAGCTTTAGAAGCACAGAATCGTTGTGAGTGGAAAAAGCCTTCAAGATCATCGAGTCTAGCTGTAAATCCATCCCCACCACTCTGCCAAACCATGTCCCTAAGCGCCTCATCCACGTGTTTCTTGTGCACTGCCAGGGACAATGACTCCAGCAGCTCCCTAGGAAGCCGTTTCAGAGAGCTTCAAC